TGAGGTCAATGCTTAGACCACTTTCTAAGGGACAGATAGATGCCAAATCGTGGATTACCCATGGAGGAGAAATAGTGGTTTGCATGGTATTATGGCATCCTGCTTGCATTGTGGTAAGAAGTAAGCTGTTTGTGCCACAGCAGTGAGTTCTGAGGGCAGTAATACTGATTTTCTATAGTTCCTGTAATGATTTGTTATGATATTAGATGACCTTCTGAAAGCTTCACCTTCAAGAAGTGGGTAATTTATATGAAAATTCCAGTTTTCCATTTAAAATTAAAACAAGCTTCCCGTCTTCTTGGGTGTAGAGACAGACAGGGGATGTGATCTCAGTATATCACTCAAGTCCAAAATCAAAAACTAACTCCTTTTCCTGCTCTGGTACTGACTGAGCATTTAAACCCTCTTTTCCCTCTCCTCCCTTAAAAATGCTGGACCCTGCTCCAGAAGTTTTGAATGGCTGAAGTTGGAAGTATTAGGGAAGACATTTTAGGTGCTTATGTGTTTTCTGAAATTGTTTCCACTTTTAGTTTTCCCTTTTTTCACAATATTCCCACTTATTTTCTTTTCTCAAATTAAGGTCCTTGCTAACATTTTTTTCAGTGTGAGTTTCTCAGCCACTTTGGCTCTGTTCTCGGTCCTCCAGGTTGGAGCCCTACAACATGCCTGTTCTGGACATCCAGTCTGCCTTCACTCTCAAAGTCGTAGTCCTTCGTTTTTTAGTCTGATAGACCAGTTCTTGTATAGCTAAGATGATTGTTTTCTCCTTGACATTTTTAGCCTGAACTTCACTGCCAAAGAACATTTATATGATTTCTCATGAAAGAGTATAAGATAAATATCTTTAGTAGTTGAGAAAGGAGCAGTATTTTAATTTTTTGACAACTAATATAGAAACTTGTCATGTTTATCTGATTTCTTGAATTTCTTCTCAGTTTTGGTTTAACTTGTAGAAAAGTTTATGGGCAGTCAAAAGTAAAAGTAAGGAACTGTGGTGAAAATATGTGAGAGAAAGACAATAGTATGTAAAAACATAATGGGCTGGAAGTGATGAGGGAAATGGTGGATTTTGTGGATGTTAATTTTGGGTGTGTGAAATCCTTTATTTGGTTGGAGATGGTACTTAAAGTTCATATCAGATAAGCTGTGAAAGCTGACTTGACATGTAGTGCACATAGGCTTTTTGCAGAGCGTGACTTTCACTCAAAATATTTTACTGTAGTTATGTTATATTGCCGATGATCTTGTCCTAATATGTAAAATACTGCGCTCTACTGTTTAGTATGGAAAGTAGGCTGGTGGACAGGACAGTGGGCATGAGTTGGAAGCTCCCATGTTTTACACTGGAGGAAAATGACTGTGTGTATCATAGACAGACTAGAGATGATGTATTTATGTACCTGTAAAGGTGTTAGTGATCTACAGATGAAGGGTCAGATCCTCTCGTATTAGGGGAACTGGCAGCTCTCTAGTGTGGATCTTCCCCTAGGACAGGCATGGATGGCCACTGAGAAGCACTACATTTGTAGGGGGTACAGAGCTGGTTTAGGTATAATACCTTATCTTTTCTACAGCTGGTACTGAGTGAGCACTGGAAGGGAGAAGCGCATAGGTTCTTCCATGCCTCTTTAGTCCTGTCTGTCATGGTATCCTCTTCAGAAGCCTGAGTGGAACAAAAGGGACATGGGAACTGAGGATCGCAGGGGTTGTCAAAAGCTTCCTCATATCTTTGTTGCCCTGAATCATTTGCCATAGGGTTCATGGAGCAGATCTGAAGCATTTTCATACGTGCTTATTATTGGTTTTATTCAGTATCTATGTTTTTTCCTTTCCTTATTTTCCAGCTTGCACCTGTTTTTTGTTTTCTAAACAACCCTGAGGTTAACTAAGTGCCAGAGATAGCAGTGAGGACTTACAGCCCTAAATAGTACATTTTCAACGGTGTTTATTGTTGCAGTGACAAGGTAGCTTGCACGTTTCTAAACTGCTGATAAGAAATTGTAAAAAGAAGCTAAAGGTCTGCAGTAACTAAAACCATGGCTTTATTTTCATGCTAGTTATGCAGAAATACTTCCCCCCTCCCTAGTAAATTATATTCAGGTAATATATCACAACTTCTGGAACCATATAGTCTCTCCCAACATTTTGTTTTCTCTAACAAGTTTTATATCAGAAATGAAAATAATTTTGTAGTCCTTTCTTTTTTGAAAAAAATTGCCCTAAAACATGTACCACTTCGTGGCTACCAAATACTATGCCTTGACACAAATGCCATGCAGAAACACGTCACCACCCTCAAAAGGTTAATTGATATTTCAGGATGTTGATTGTCTTCTAAGTAAACACAACCATAGCCAAATACATGTTACATTTTTCTTTCAAGAAAATAAATAGTCGGACCATTTTGAAGCCTTAGGCAGCATGCTATTTATTAATCAAAACTTGTTCTCATACAACTATATTTAAAACAGAAGAGACACATGAATTGTACAGGAAAACAAAGTAATTTTAAGGTAAAGCAATATAAAAAAAGAGTTATGGCTGTTGTTCAGCTATAAACTCAGGCCACTGTGCTGCCACATATATTGTATTTGTTCTGAGCCTTCTACAATATTCCTGCATAGATGTGTATTAAAAGTGAAGTAGAAGACATAAATTTGAACTTCTTTACTTTTGATGGTTTGTTTTTCATGCTACATACTGTACACTTTAACAGCTTTAGAAAAGTCTTAAAAGTCAGGCTTCCTAGGATATTGTTCTTGTCTCTAGTGACATTGTTTTATAATCCTGGATAAGCTGCTAGCCTGTCTAAGGCTTGGTTTCCATGCTACTATAATAAATTGTTTCAGTAACTGATAGAAAGTCCTTTCTAAATGGAGGAGTGTGGGGCTTGAACCTTAGTGACTGCAATATGAAGAGCCATTGCATTCCAGAGCCTGCAGTTAGGTGTTTTATCAAAATAGGTGGTACTGTTTCCTCTTGCCTGCTTTGGGCTGGTCTCACCGCTAGCCCATAAATCAGCATTCGGGTCCTTCTCTGTTGACCATTATCATTTTTGATAGGGTTCTTTAGCTGAACTGAACTTCTTGCTTGATCTAAAACCTAGAGTAAGGCAAGATGCTAAGATCTTTATGCTCCTGAGAGAACCAGAGGTAATTTCTTTACTTAATTTGATTGAAGTTTGTGGAGAGAAAAATGTTTTCCAGCTATGTTATTCTGGTATAATTTGCTGGAAGATTCCAGATACTGGCCAGCACAGGAGATTAGCAGACTTGTCCATGTAGTGTGATTGACTTGAGCACATCCACAGAATCTACTTTGGATTGTGCTGTACTTTTGGGTGGGATGGGCAATGCCCTATTATTTTCATCAACCAAGATGTAATCAGGTTAGAAGAAATTAAAACAGAGAATTATGATTAAAAATTAATCTGCTTTTAGACTATATAAAACTTGTCTTTTAAAGCATCTTTAATTCATAGGCTGTGGGCATACTGTTACTAAAGCTACGCCTACCACAAAATGAGCTAGACCAGATTTACAGCATTTCAGCTGTGTCCGTTTGTGTTGTATGCATGCTTTCATCGATTTGATTAATGTGTAAACCTCCTTATTTTTACCACGGAAAGAAGCCTGAATAGGGGCATTTCTTGCAGAGCAGCTGACAGACTGCAGGCTGACCTGCTGAAGTTCCTTCTACTGTCTTGTTCCTATAGCAGTACACAAGTCAGTCTGAGACTGCCTGTGTCTTGCCATTAACTTTGTTTGGCCTTGGCTGAACTCCTTAACCATCTTGGACTGGCAATGGTGGTTAATAGGTCATGATATGTAATTTTCCTTTTGGTATGCTTAGTCATATGTCTTTCAGTGTTTGTTACATAATTGGTGTAACAGTGATGCAATATATAAAGAAATGCAATATAACATGCATTAATGTGTAAATGTAAATGGTATAGCTGCAATAAATTTTGGAAGTTCTGTCTTTGAGCTGTGCCCATGGAAGATGTTTCTACCACTCACTTTCTCTCCTATCTTTCATCTAGAGATTATTGTCACTGTAGGAGGCAGGGCATGTATTGGCTTCGCTGCTGTTCACAGTACAGCACCTCTGGGATGGCTTTGTGCTGTTGATGATTTTAACTGAATTGTTGGACTGGTAAGAGATTAACTGAGATGTGGCACGCTTTCCCTTTTACCAAGTCAGCCACAATATTTACTGGCAGAGGGGAGACATTAGATTAAAAAGACCTTGTATGCAAATTAACTTGCCAGATGGTAAGATTTTATATTTCTACTTTTCTATATTCAAGAGAGCCAGGTAGGTTATTTTGTGAAAGACTTGTGGTTCTGTTCTTGCATACTTCATTTATGCGTGAAGTGTAGCTTGATAATATTTGAATATCATTTTAGATTAATGATTAAAAAGCAATTTGAAATGTATTTTTGTGTAGCTTTCTATTAAATTCTGTTGCTCACATGCTTAGCTGGTTTTTGGCTTTTCAGTAGTAATTTAAAAAGCAGCACAGAATTATTTTTGTCATTAACATCTGTATATGGTAGAACACACATGAATAAATCTGTTGATTAAGAAATTACCATTTTTAGCTGGTTTACCATTTATTGGTAATTTTTTTTCTTTTTCCTAAAAGAAAAATAAATATGAAATAAAATTGAATCTGCAACTTTGCTGATACACTTCACAAGGTGGGGGAAAACTACCTTATTTTGGATCCTTAGTTGTGTTTTATGGATTGGTTCCAGCAGATCTGAGGCGTATGAATTCACTTTATTTCGGGTGGTCACAGGCAGTTTGAACTGATAAATTTGGCAAGAGAGAGAATCAAATCTGTCTTGGAGTCCAGGAGAATGTGCACTGTATAAAAACGCTTAACATTTGTAGAGCCTGACATCGTGTCTACTGATACAGACCATTCACAATGTTGAAAGTTGACCTGAGTGCTTCTGTACCATCTGATTGTAATCTAAATTTGTGTTTTATAGCTTGAAACAATTGGATGGCAGCTTAATCTTCAAATGGCAGAGTCCATGCAAGCAAAGCTGAAGTCTCCTCGGGCTGTGCTAGAGCTGGGGGTGAGCAATGAAGATTCAAAGGTAAGAAATATATGCCTGGCAGAGTTGGAATGAGTTGTGGTGATGGCCTTACGTTCAAAGTTCTGAGGCATCAGCTGGAACTCTTGATAGTTGTTAGTCTTGCCAATGTTTTAATTTTTATATTTCATAAAATTATAGTAAGCACTTGGAATTGTGAAGTACTGATGTAATAGCATACATATTAGGTAGCCTGAGAGCTGTGTTACCAGCTCTTTGGGCTGTAATGTGATAGAGAAATATAATGGAATATGGTTATTTTAGGTCTTTAAAATATCTCTGTAGATAATTTATTTTTATCACGTAGCATGTGATTGGTACTTCTTATACTTTCAATGCGTAGTAGCTTGCAGCCTTCTACCATGTGTGTAGTTATGTAAGATATTAGTCATCACTTGCAACCTTTCTGTGCTAATGATGTATTTATATGAATGATGACATCGTATGCAAGGCCATAGAAAGCCAATATTTGGATGTTTTAAGGTAAAGTCTTAAGTTCAAGGATTTTAGTGACTGGTGGTGTTTCAGTGCCAAAACCCACTAATGAACGTAATTATTTTATTTGTAAAATCTGTATCTTTTTTTAGCTAGCATGTTTTAAAATAAACACATGAATTGCTTTTAACCTTATCTTGCTAATGGAAATCAGAGCCTTTACTTTTGTGGTGTCTATCAGAGTGTTTTTCTATGAAAAAGTCAGTATAAAAGATCTGAGGGGAAAATCGGAAGTCGGTTCTGCTTTAGCATTGCATTGAAATCACAGTAATTTTGCTAATGTGAGTGGAATGTCTGATTTATGGTAGAATAAAAGAGAATACACAGCTTATGCTTGTGCTTCTCACCAGGACTTGCAGCAGTTGTATTTTTTTCAGCAGTTCACTGCAATCTGTATTTTTGAAATGCAAATACAGGAACCAGACAATATTTTATGTCCAAGCTGCATTGGGCAGCACTGCATACAGATTCAATTCTGTGGCAAAACAATTTTTAAAAAAATGAGGAAAAAAGTCACTTCCACATGACACAGAAAGTTCGTCTGTTTCCTTTACAAACAGAATTCAGCAAGTGGATTTTTTTGATTGTTTCCTCTCTATTTCTTTTTGTGGGTGTAATTAAGATACCAAGATCAGAATTATTTTGCAATAATTACAAGCCTAGAATGGACTTGTAATTGGCATTTAGATAGAACTGTGCAACAAGAAAAACATACTGATGCTCTTACACTGCAGACACTAAAATTTAAAAATCTGGGTTGGTGTGAAGGTAACTACAGGTGTTTTTCTGAATGATTACATCCTAGTATAGAATAGGTTTAAGATTGGCTAATAACTACTTGTATGCTGACAGAAGTGTTGGAACATAATTTTTGTGTTGTATTTTGCATCTTCATGATCTCTTTGTGCACTAAGTATTAAATTATCTGAAAATCCTGGATACTAGATCCTTCTTTTTTTTCTCCCCAAATTTATGCATGTGCCTTTTATGCAGAAATTTGGCATGAATTTAGCATATATGTTGTTAATGATTGTCTTCATTTATCACGAAACTTTTTTTTTTTGTTTTAAAAAATAATTCATGGATATAATAACTTGAATTTTTTTCAGGAAAGACGAAACGTTGTTACAGAGGAGCTTTTGTGGGCTGGCTCATTAGGGGGCAGTAGTGCTCTTTGTCACACTGGCTTTTTGAATGCTTTTTTGAGATAATACTTGGAATCAATTCTGAAGTTGTTGTGGGAAGTGTTAAGTGTTTACATTTCTAATCTGTATATAACAATAGAAGTTTGTCTTGCTCATCTACGAAACTAAAGCCTATTAATAAAAAAACCCATACTGAGCAAGGTAAATGAAATTGGCCGTTATTTCCACTTTTGCTAACTAAAAGTAATTGTACTAATATATTAATGTTTACAACAACTCACTTCACTTGAAGATCATTTAAACAGTTCTTCGTCAGAAGCTGACATTTAAAATTAGTATTTAAATTATCTCCAGGAGAGGTAATTGGAAAACCTGTGGATATATGAATGTTAGTTGTGCTTCATGAAATAAAAAGTGTCAGAGGATCTGCTATATAAATATTTATAGAGTATATCTTGTCAGCTTCAGATGAAATGCAGAGTCCTATAGGTATTGTACCATCAAAATTCAAAAGTAAGGTGGTCTTTGATTCTTTCAGGTGATTCAAGCTGCTAGTGACATTTGCATTGCCCAGGAAATATGCTGCTTGTGACTAGCAGTAATTGTGATCAGATCACATGATTTTTGGTAACCTGTTTTTTCCGGGGTTTTGTTACAAATTTCCTGTTTGCTTATACTGAGACTTTGAATTATGCTTGATTTGGATCTAACAAATATTTTGCATATGCCATGAGAAGTTTTTCACTGTGGGTGTGATTAAGTACAGGAATGAGTTACCTGGAGAGGTTGCAGAGTTGCCAGCCTTGGAGATACTCGGGAGTCAACAGGACAAGTCCCTGAGCATCCTGACTGAAGCATGGAGTTAGCCATGCTCTGAGCAGGGGGATGGATCAGGTGGGCTGCCAAACCCTGCCTTCCAGCCCAAGTTGTCCTGCGATCTAGGCTGCTTTGCAGCTCGGTTGCTGATGGTGTTTTGTATGAGGAGGAGAAAAAAGGAGCTTTCAATTAAAAATCCAGTTAACAACGGCTTCTTACAACGATTCAGAATTTGAAATATTTAATTACGTTTCTAAATCTGAGGGAAGTGGAATTTTTATGAACTAGGCACACAAAACAAGCTGGTATGATAGGAAACATCTTTTTGAACTGCAAGAGCCTTTTGCTTCCATTCTGACATTTTAATCAACTAAGACGACTTTTAGAACTGATGTGTAAGATACCAGCTGTGGTAAGGGTTTTCTTTAATAATATAATTTCGTTTCAGAATTTTTTGGCTGTTGAGTTGCAACACAACAGTCTGGGGAATTTTTACAGACTATTATTATTTTTATGGCTATAGGGTGAACTAACCAGTAGAGGGAGCACAAATTAACAATCCTGGTAATCTGTGCTGCTAATTATGATGTTGATTTGCAAACAAAGACTGATCCCAAAAAATGCTGGGTTTATTTAATATCTGTTTCCTTCAGTAATTTATTAAATAATTATCCACATAGGCACACACTCGCACGTTCTTTCCCACTGTTAATAGCAGTAACTCCTTAGGCCATCTAGTCCAGACCTTTCTAAACAACGGTGATCGTTTTCTATTACCGTAGGAGCCATGTTAAAAAAAAAAAAAAAATTGTAATAAAGGCTGTAGAAAAGGTCTGAGGGCTTCAGAAATGTCACATCATTGGTGTCGAATATCTCTGCGGAAGAATGTGAGAAGTAGATGTTCTTAACCAGTTTCTGCTATGCCTCTTCATTAGGAAGATCCAGTAAGGCTCATTACTATATAAGGTATTTATTATTGTGTATTTTTGCACATGATCTGTAGTTAACATTTATGCTTGAAAATCATTAGGATATCATTCTTGCCTGGTGATATCTCTCGATAGTTATCCAATTTTTTTCCGTAAATGTGTTCCACAGATTTCATTAGATTCAGTTATCTAATTACGATTTGTCCTATAGAAGGCTTTGCTCTTTTCTTGGTATTCCTTCTCTTAAGTTAATCTATGATTTTATTCTTAGCCATTAAGGAGTTCTTGGGGGAGCTCTTTTTTTCAGTTTGAATGCTATGTATAGATTCCTTGTGAGACTTCAATACTTGTTTATTTTGTTCCTTCTTTATACAGATATTTGAAGAATTTTGTTACAGGATTTTGTCTGCCAATGCAAGACAAAAAATAACTGATAAATGTGCTGGTTTGTTAAACTTGCGAATGTAATACTTTTGACAAAAGATAGATAATATTGAAATATTATTACTATACTAATTTAATTTTATTTCCTTTTAATTCATTTCCTCTAACTTCTAGATGCTTTAAAAGGGGAGTATAACAATGGAAATATTTTAAACTATTTTTTTCTGCAACCGTATGTTAGTTAAAAAAATTGGGTCTGATTGCATTTGAAACTGGGATTGTAATACATATTCATCATTCTACAGAGTAAATAGAAGTCTGGAAATCTTAAATGATTATTTTTTACTTGTTAAAATAACAGGACATGGTTTTTTTCCTCCTAGTTTTTACAAACTTTCTATACATTTCTGGACTGTGAACAAATCTAGACCTTAGACGTTTTGCTCTGTTTACTTCAATAAGTATGCCATTCTGCTTTCTAAGTTTGCCATTGTGAATACTTTCCCCATCTTTAACAGCAAAGCAGAAGTAGATGAGAAACAAAGCTTTTTTTCTGGCGAGCTAGATCAATCACTCAATTCAGGTTGTAGATTGTGTGCAGCCTGTATGGCATGCAGGCAGGACCTGCACTTGGATGGATATTTAGGGAAGTATGGTGGTGGTTGCCTTCCCCCTCAGTTTAGCCCTTTGTTTCCCACTGAAAAGCAGTTGTATTTGCAGAGTGGCATAACAGTGAGAGTTGGTGGATGCAAGTGATGTGCTCCCACTCCAGAGAGGTAAGAGGTGGTAGAGTTGAGCATCTATACCATGATGTACCCTCTTCATTTGCCTTCTCAGTCCTCAGCTTTTGGGTTGATGCATTTAGGTACCATTTTTTTTTTCAAAATAGAGGAGTAATTTGTATCTGTAGGGCCTCGAAAAAAGAGGACAATTAAAAGACATGATGCTGGAGGAACTGTGATGAGATGCAAAGACTAAACAATTGTAAATGGCTTCTCACATTCATCAGCTACCTCTAAAGCACTTTGTGTTCTGATGAACACATCACCCTTTTCCTCCTCAGAACACAAACAAGCTTGCATGTACACCCTTGAACTGAGTTTAGTCTTCTCATCAAGCAGATTTGTAAGTCTCTAGCAATTGCAAAAAGTAAGTAGGACAGGCCTTGGACGAATGCAGAAATGTTTAAGGATGAGATTGAGAGAAAGGTTTTTTCATTCCTATTCAGAGGAGG